CCCTGTCCTATAGGGTCACTATGAGTCAGCATCGGGTGGCAGTGAGTCTGAGTGAATTAAATAGAAAATGTACATTTTCTATAATACAACAATTCTACTTCTAGATAAATCCTCTAGAGCAGTGGTTCTCAACTTTCCTAATTCTGTGACTCTTTCATACTCATGTTGTGGTAACCCCCTAACCATAAAATTATTTTTGTTGCTACTTCATAACTGTAATTTTGCTACTGTTATAAATCGGGCGACCCCTGTGAAAGGGTCGTTCGGCCCCCAAAGGGGTCATGACCCACAGGTTGAGAACCACTGCTCTAGAGCAACACTGCAACACTATTCAATAGAAATATAATGTGCACTACACATATGTAGTTGTTAATTTCCTGGAACCACATAAAAAAAAGAAATAGCTAAAAATAGTTTCAACACTTTAATCTAATAAAGGTAGATGTTACCCCTTCAACAGATGTATATAAAAGTTATTAGTGACAGTTTGAAGTTAAACAAGCGGCCATCTAGCACAGAAGCAACACGCCCACATGGAAGAAGCACACCAGCCTGTGTGATCATGAGGTGTCCATGGAATCAGCTAACAGGCACCAGAAGACCCCCCAAAACAAACAAAAAAAACATATCGTTGAGAATGAGGGAGGTCAGAGATGACACCCAAAACCCATCTGTAGACAATAGGACATCCCCTCACAGAAGGGTCATAAGGAAGAGATGAGTCAACCAGGGTGCAGTATAGCACCAATGAAACACACAATATTCCTCTGGTTCTCTGAAGCTTCCTCCCCCCCACTATCATGACCCCCAGTTCTGCCTTTCACTGTGGGCTAGACCGGAGCTTGTACACTAGTACAGATAAGAGTTCACGACATGCAGAATCCAGGTCAGATAAGCCCCTCAGGAACAGAAATGGGGGTAGCAATACCAGGAGCATAGGGGAAGGCAGGGGGAGGAGGGGAGGAAGAAGGAACCGATCTCAATGATTGATGTATAATTGTGCCACCCTCCCATCCCCCACCCACACACACACCAAGGGGATGAACAACAGAAACGTAGGTGGAGGGAGACAGCAGTTGGTGTAAGATAAGAAAACAGTAATAATTTATAATTTATCAAGGGGTCATGAAGGTGAGGGTGGGGGGGAGGGAATGAAAAAAGAGGAGCTGATACCATGGACTCAAATAGAAAGTAAATGTTTAGAAAATGATGATGGCAACATATGTACAGATATACTTGATACAACTGATGTACGGATTGTTTTAAGAGCTGGAAGAGCCCCCAATAAAATGATTAAAAAAAGTTATTAGTGAGATATTTGATATTACATTTACATTCCTTTGAAAGCAAGAAATCTTTTGAGTCCGTTACACTTTCAGCACGTCTCCATTTTATCTCACTACATTTTCACAGTGCAGTACCGGAACAGCCCAGCTCGAGAGAGTTCAGTGTGCACAAAAAGACAAGTACAGTGTTTCTGACAGCAAAAACAAACCAACCCAAACACCCCCATGTTCACCCACTGAAAAATGGATAATGAAATATATATATATATATCATACAGTGGAGTGCTATGTAATAGTTAAAAGAGATCAGTTTTAAATATATTTAAATATGGA